AGTCTGCAGCTGTGGTATGTGAGTCACAATGTACTGCCTGTAGCCGGAAACTGATTCTATCGGGTTCCCAAGAAGACTTAGAGATTTAAGTCTTGTTAGTGCTATAAGTTTATCCACCTCTTTAAGTCTTTTAATGTTATTACCATGTAGATATATCATTGTTAAGTTAGGGAGTTGGAGGAGTGCCTGTAGAAAAGAAGAAAGACAATGTAAAGTAGTAAAAAATTAAAAATTTTAGTAACATGCAATCCATTGCAGGGTTTCCTTCCCAACTGGCCAGCATGTTGTTATTAACTCTCGAAGTAGTAGCTTTAACTGCCTCCAGTGGACTGGCTTCATCATCATCTGCTAAATCATACTATAATAAAGAATAAAGGTATTATGGAACAAAGAGAAAGAAAGGGCATTGGAATATGTAGATACATGTACAAGCATGCAAATCTCAAATTTAAGCTCAATTTTCAAGAACCAGACTCAAGAGAGGATTGGATACAAAATTAATGATTGGTACTGTACCACTGTTTTGCTGTCTTTTGACTCTTAATTGACTTCTCTTCCAGTATATCTCATTACACACTGAATTGATATTCACCTTGTCCTCACCTCCTCTCACTGAAGGATTTATTTGCCTCAAATTTGATTATCAGCTGACCACTGGATGCATGCAGTTATAGAAATACTGCCAGTAAAAAGACTATATGTGCGGCTCTTGCCTCAAAGCATTTGATGTATAACTTAATATTAAATAATTGATTGAAAGTCTGTGATACTACTAAATAGTGTTTGATTTGTGATTAATTTTTTTTTTCAAAAACAAACTTGGTCAGTAGTTTTTTTACCCTCCCTATGTGTCTTTCCCCTCCTTATATATCTTTCCCCTTTGCATCAGCTTCAGAACTATACAACATTACATGAAGAAAAACAAATAAAAAAATAAACATCATACTAAGCTTAAAATAATAGAAAACTAACTAAAAGGCAGCAGTAATAATTAGAATATCAAAAATACAAAAAATTAATCAAATCTTCATCCTTTTCAATGACTCTATTACTTGAGCCATAGTAGGACGAGCTCTAGGATTAGCATTAAGTCCTCTTTGTATGAGAGACTTCATATCAGACCAGGAGACACCACGAGATTGTACTTCTCTCTCTGCTGTCATCATTTCCGGTTTACAACATAAATTCATTTCCATAAGGAGAACAGAGTAACTGTAGACATCCATTGCTGGACTGTGTTGATCAGGAATAGGAGCTTCTGGTGCAGCATATGCTGGATTGCCTGGCATAACAGTACCAGTACTAGTGCCTTGTTGCAATTTAGCTGCACCATAATCTGATACTTTAGCTTCATAACCAGCAGCTCCAGTGCAAGGCTTTAATAATACGTTAGGACTGCTCACATCTCTGTGAATAATAGGCTGAGGCTTAAACAGGTGAAGGTAGTTGAGGCCTAAAGCTACATCTTGAGCAATACTCAGAATCTGTTGATTGGTTAACTTAGTCTCCTGAAGCTTTTTATAAAGACTAGTGCTCATCAGCTCGGTCAAGATGAGAGGATTATCCACTTTAGTTGCACCAATAAACTGGACTAGGTTAGGATGACGACTTGTGATGCTATACTCATTTCCCTGGAAAAGTAAGCTAAATTATAATCTGAGATGATGACAGTGTGAAGTGACTTGACAGCTACTCTTAAACCTCTAAAAATACCAACTTTAACGACAGCATATCCTCCTCTTCCTAACTCCTCCTTTGTCAAAGTCACCTCATCTTTATTAATAACCCAGTGATCATCAGTAAGTGCTTGTTGCTTGAACCTACGAACTGCATCTTCAGACTGACGTAGCTCCCTATCCTTCTGAAGTATCACAATATCCTTTTGTTGTAATGTTTTTTTATTCTCTTGTAGCTCCCTATCCTTCTGTCGTAGTGCTTCCTGACTATCTTGCAGTACCACCTGATGCTCCCTATCCTTCACCTGTAGCTCCCTATCCTTCTCCTGTAGCTCCCTATCCTTCTCCTGTAGTTCTGTATACTTCTCCTGTAGCTCCTTATCCTTCTCCTGATACTCCCTATTCTTCTCCTGTAGCTCCCAATGCTTCCTCTGCATCTGAAACCCCCAATCCTTCTCTTTTAGCTGATAATGATCTTCACTTTCTAGCACTTCTTCTACCTGCCACATACCAAGAGAGCGGCTTTCACTTTTATACAACTCCATCAAATCTTCCTATAAATATAAGATAATAGAGGAAGCAGGAAGATAAGAGTGTAATTAGAAAGTTATGATGAGAGATACAAGTATAGATCACTATCGGTTGTATGTTAGTCTAGTGTGGCCAGGCTATCAGCGCCATCCAAAAGTTAAAGAGGGATGATAGTCTGGCCACACTAGACTAGATGTATGTATGCATTATACACTTGTAGGCTACTGACCCCCAATCCAATTTTTTTAGCTACTGTTAACACTCCTTCATTGCATGTAGCTCGAAGAAACACATCTCTATTAACAAAAAAATACATGTGGGATTATTCTTAAATCTGCATGCACTTTAAACACATGCATGAAGTAAGGTGGGGTATATCTGCAGGTACAAAATTAATTTTGATAGATATTAAAATTGAATATAAGAGCAATCAACAAAAATAATACACTGGTCCCTTCTTTCCGGTTCCTACAGTTCATAAAAATTGAAGGGGTGTGACCAGTAGGTGAAGTGAAATTTATATAAATGAAAAGGATTTGAAACAAGGCATATGTCTGTGTAAAATGGATATGGGCAGACATTTGCATCTAGCAACAGTGAGAATCTTATCCAGCTTAAATGTCCCACCCTATATCAGTTCATTGTAAGCTACAAACCTGTATGCTGTAACACCAAAATTAAAATCCGTTCCAAATCTACTAAGAGGATCAGCCTGTGGGTGACAGTGTTAGAAGGTAATGTCATCATCATTAATGTGTTTGCATGTCTTCACTTACATGTACCTCAAATTTTTTATTATTTATAACCAAACGTGGACAATCATCTCTTACTCTAATAAAATACAAGTAAAATTTCAACTACTCTCTCTTTACTTGCTAGGAAGAGAAGCAAATGGTTTTGCAGTAAGAGAGGTGCCAATTATAATCAACAATTTGCAATTTTGAAAATCCTAATTAAACATAATTACTAAAAATGCTTACTAATAGTATTTTGCTTACTTCATTGGCAAGTACAGTAAATTTTCGAGGTGGATCTTCACCAACAAAAACAACATCTAGATACAATGCATTACTGCTGCATGCATATAACAAATCATTTTATTGATATATACCAGGTTTAACTATTCCTTTGTATGTCCCGCTATCCACTTTAGGTTCATAGGCACAGCCAAAACTTGTGCAGAATGGGATATTACCAGCTTGTGCTATACAAAAATGGACAAATATTAAGAGCTGTATTTAATTTTGTTGATTTAATTTTTGCAAATTTAGACTGTCTACACTCTTGTACCATACAATGGTCACAGATTTATTTTTTGCAAATCTTTGTGCCCTCAAAAATTTATGCTGTATGCCAATTTACCAATATACATGTAGCTATTGTGGACACTCTAAAATAAGGAGGCCTCTATAATGAGGACAGGTAGTATCAGTCCCAATACAATAGTAATGTGTATTAATGAACCTCTGAAATAAGGACAGGTTCATTATCATGAGCTAGTGTATTATTGGGTCCTAAGGTGTCCAGTTGAATAATTTGCAGAAAACATGCAATGATTGTATGAACTTATACCCTTCACAAATTCATATGAATATCCTTTGCCACAGGTGATGCAGTGAGCAGTGTCGAGAGCTCCGTGAACCTTAACAAGATGTTCATCTGTTATTCCAGCTCTTCGTTCAAGGGTATCAATATTCTAATATAATGTATGTAGCTAGTATTGATTTTTATCTCTCTTTTTCTCTCCCTAACCTCTGTGTAGCACCTAAGCAAAAGTCCATTGGCTTCCAGAAGTCGAATAAAATAATGACACAAAGTTGGCTACAATTGCACTGGTAAAGATATAGTGTATGCATAGTATACTTACATGTACTTTTGAAATTTCCAAATACATGTCTTGACAATGAGAAAAAAATGGCCTGGGATTAGACTAAACAATTTGTATAAAAAGATAAAACATAACATATACCATATAGTGGAAAATTTTTGTGGCCCAAAAATTTGCAAATTTAGTCATAAAATCTATGATATATTTTTTTGGCCATCTTGAACACATTCAATTGATTTTCACAAATTTTATTTTCATGAATTTTGAAAAAAATTTATGAAAACTTTGGGCCACAAAATTTTTCCACTATATAAGGAGAGAAAACTGATAAAAAGCATGACATAAAAATAATTGTAATCAATAGGAATGGTACAAAACATACTTGAAAGAATGACATGTCAGATAGGCATTTGTGCTTTCATAAGCTGCTATTACCAGGTGTAAAGGAATCAGAAAAACCTGCCTCTGTAAAGTAATATTCAGTAATGTGGCAGGATTAATGAGAATAGGAGTGATCCCTGTTCAAAATGGTTGCAGCAGCCATGGTCCAACCAGCCAATTTAGTTAAGCAGCTGGGGGGATATCATGGTCTTTGGCTGATACTAATTTTTACACCACATGCATGTTCTACTTTAATGGGCTCATGACTACTAAGAATTCATCATTTTGAGACATATAGCATATAGATGAAATATAACATATATAACACACCAATATGGGTCGATACAAGGCTGACACCCTCCACCTCAGATACTTTGAATTGATATCACCCTTGGGCCGAATATCGACTCCAATATCGTCGTGTTATATATAACACATATAGAATTTACAAACATCACCTGAGGGTGAAAACAATTATAGGAATCGAAACCTCCTGCATTGAAAGGAAATGCTTGTGAGATCCCATGTCCATGTAAATACACTATAGGCAACATGTTGCTAGGCTAGCAACTTTCTGTAGTAACTTTCATCTTTTATCTAAGAATAAGAATTTGTTCTATTTTTGATTATAAGATCAAAGTAACCACAAAAGTTGCTGCCTATAGTGTATTTACCTAGACGTGCAAGGCATCTCAAGCATTTCCTTTCTGTACTTAGCATAGTTATTTTAGTCTCTATTGTTTTTACTAATGAATATCGGGTAAATAACCAGTTTTTATATATCTGTTATCGCAATACTATACTAACCAGTTGATAATCCTGCTCCAGTCATCACAATGATGCTTCTAGCTATTATCATGGTATATACACATAATTTATATTGGTGCTTGAGTTTGAGAAACTTACGATTGTTAGAGAATAATATTTTCTGTCTAATATGCGTAACGATTCCGTCAAGTGTAACTTCCTCCAAACATTTGGGTTGTTCTAAAGGATCATCTGCTGGTTCTAGTGTAAAACATTCAAGAGCAACTCACTTTCTGCCATGACCTTGTTCGTCGGTATTATTATTAGATTAGAACATGGGTGTGGTCATATGCAGATCTCTAGCTCTGGCTCTGGCATTCTCTGCAAATTCTGCATGAATATGGCGCCTCTCTCTCTCTAGCTCTTCTCAGTTTACTCATAATCGAGGTCTACATTCAGAAGTTCATCATAGTGGAAATTGGAACCCCACTCTTGATGTAAAAATATAAGGTACACATTGGACTAAGTGAGAGGGTTGGTCCAGATTGTTCCTATTGGACGACAACACCGTCTCTCAAAGATCAAGTACTACTGTAAGTATTGGTTAATTAATTAGTAGGTGTGGTCTTAATTAATTAATTAATATGACATAATGTATCTACTGTAAGTTATTAATTTTGTTCTCTCTTTCTCCTTTAGTCTACCTTCAGAAGTTACGGTCATGGAAAAATGGAACCTTACTCTCCATGTAAATTTATTATTATTTAATTATTTATTATTTTATTTATTATTATTATTATTACTTATTCTAGGATGAGAATTTTATGTACAAGCGATTGCCACCTACCAATGATAACTGGACCCTTTATGTACAGGTAATGTTATTTAACCTATGACTAATGTTGCTTAAAATTAGAAAAAAATTTAATATTAATTTTGCTTTATTTTTCAACACACACTGATTATATACTGTATTATTATTGACTTTGTTTATTATTATCATTATTATTATTATTATTATTATTATTATTATTATTATTATTATTATTATTATTATCATAGGTCCTTACTAAGAACAATGCTTATCGTGTCTCTAACTGGACAACCCCAGTGGTCCTCACTGTCCCTGGTGTATCATTCAGTGTAGCAGCTGCTAGTAGTACCAGTAGGGTACTCATTAATCCATCTGCTACTAGCACTGGTAGTGCTAGTATAAGTCCTTCTGTTAGTCCACCTGTTATATCTGATCCTAACGCTGCTGATGGACCTAATAATGGTTAGTATTAATGTGTTAATGTGTTGTACTATGCTTTATATGCTTAAGGATTGTATAGGGAAATTATATGGGCTATAGTACAGGACATTTGATCAAAAATGGCTAGGAGAGAATTCTCCATTTTTATAACTTTATCTGATGCATATACGTGTACTTATGTTGTGTAGAAAGTTTGAGCTGATTCCAATTAAAATTGGATTTTTTACGAATTTTTAAAGTTGCTCCAAAATTGGGTAAAAGTCCCTGTACTATAGTACAGGGTCACGGGCCAAATTTTGCCAAAAATGAAAAGTAGAGAATTCTCCATTTTTATAACTTTATCTGATGCATATACATGTACTTATGTTGTGTAGAAAGTTTGAGCTGATTCTGATCAAAATTGGATTTTTTACGAATTTTTAAAGTTGCTCCAAAATTGGGCCAAAGTCCCTGTACTATAGTACAGGGTCACGGGCCAAATTTTGCCAAAAATGAAAAGTAGAGAATTCTCCATTTTTATAACTTTATCTAATACATATGCATGTTTTTATTTTGTGTAGAAAGTTTGAGCTGATTCCAATTAAAATTGGATTTTTTACGAATTTTTAAAGTTGCTCCAAAATCGGGCCAAAGTCCCTGTACTATAGTACAGGGTCACGGGCCAAATTTTGCCAAAAATGAAAAGTAGATAATTATTCATTTTTATAACTTTATCTGATATGTATACATGTACTTATGTTGTGTAGAAAATTTGAGCTGATTCCGATCAAAATTGGATTTTTACTAGTTTTTTTGCTAAAATATACTTGTACAGTACATACATGTACATGTAACCTCTGCATACATAATATAATGTATTATAATTATATTATCATTTGTTCTTCCAATTCCCTTTCCTTACTGATAGATTGGTTGATTCCAGTGTCTGGTGTGGTTGCTATTGTCCTGATACTGGTACTAGCCATTGGTATAGCCTCAGTATTGCTACTGGTAGCATGTGTACAGACTAAGAGACTGGGGAAAAGAACCCATTCGTCAAAATCAGCACTGGTATGATATAATACACACACAAAATTATATTTTTTATAAAATAATAAATAAATGAAGATAAATAAAAATAAATAAAATTAATAAAGCTTTAAAATTATTAATTAAATTATTATTATTATTATTATTATTATTATTATTATTATTATTATTATTATTAATTATTAATTTATTATTTGTAATAAATTAATAGTTTGTGTACTCCCGAACAAACTATTTTATAACTATTTTTAATAACTATTTTAATAGCTATTTTTAATATACACGTAGTTTTTAAAAATAATAAATAAATAAAGATGATTAAAAATAAATAAACTTTAAAATTATTAATTAAACTCTTGAATTATTTAAATTAAAATTATTATTATAATTATTAAAAATTTGGTATTTTAATAAATTATATATTTTATAACTATTTTTAATAACTTGTTTAGACGGCTTCTGCTGCCTGGTCCGAGCTTGATTCAAAGGCCATGGAGAATGGGGCATTAATTGGAATAGGTACGTTTGGTCCGGTACACAAGGTCAGTGTTCCTGTGGGAGGAAAAGGAAAGAAAGGGAAAGAGACTAAGGAGGTCGCTGTAATCTCATTAAAATGTAAGTAAAATTATTAGTTATTATGAATAATGATTATTATTGTTTATACCGTATATATAGTGCAAAATTTTCTAGGGTCGTAAATTTCGCACATTTGCCTAAAAAATCTATTTCGCGGAAGTAATTTTGTGAATCTTTAAAAAATTGCGAAATCCACGAAATTCATAGCCCTGAAAACTTTGCACTATACGGTATTAATGTACATGAACATGTGGTACCTATAATATTTAAATGTGTAATATAAACTACAATTTAGTAACTTTCTCTCTCTCTTTCTCCCTCTCCCTCTCTCTCTCTCTCTCTCTCTCAGCTTCAGCTACTAAAAGAGACACTGATGATTTTTATGATTATTTGGAATTACTAAAGATGATGTCCAACTTCAAAGACTCCTCCTCCCTCCCTGTCCTCCAGCTGGTTGGGTTCAATACAACAGAGACTCCTCACTACATCATGACTGAACTATCAACTCATGGAGACCTACTCACCTACCTTATTGACATCAGACAAAATGTAAGGGAATGTTTTATTTATTTTTGAATTTATTATACATTTATTTTTACTTGTAGATGTATTCTTTAATTTTGTTATACTATTTTTTATTTATTTTTTTACCTACTTACTTGTACATTATTATTATTATTATTATTATTTATTTATTTATTTATTTATTTTATTTTATTTTTAGATGGAAGGTGGCAGTATTCATGATGATATTCCAGCTAGTACTACAACTGGTTGCTACCTTATCGAGCTGATAGACTCAACCCTTCTGATGTACTGTCCTTTG